TACGGGGCATTGCAGGCTAACAAAGAAGCCAAAGGACCCCTTATTCCAAAGGGGGGGACCCGTTCATCTGTTTCTATTTCTATGTTTTCTAAACTAAAACCAGGCTTTGTTGGGCTGCTGGATAAAACCTGGAACTAAACGCTATTTCTGACATTTTGGATTGAAAAATCTTCCTGGATGGAAGAGAAACGTCTTCAGACTTGGAAACAAAGTCCAGTGGATTGATCTTTTAGCTTTTTTTAAATGACTCTGACCTGGATGACTGAGAATGTAAAGGAAACATGAATGTAAAGCAAACAAGTTTGTTTAGTTTTTTTCCTTGTTTTCCAGTGAACTAAAGAGTAAGATAGAGAGAGAAGACACGAAGCGAGAGCTGCTGGGGACTCGGAGCAGCCTGACCGAGTCTTACTGCATTCGATGTCTGGAGCCCTTCAAGTTCCTGGTCAGCATCAAACGCCAGTGTTTGGACTGCCGCCTGCACGTCTGCAAGTCCTGCAGCCGCCTCAGTAAGAGGGAGCAAGGCTGGGTGTGCGAGCCCTGCCACATGGCCAGGTGGGACCTCCATACGACCAGCTGAGCTGAAAAACTGAAACCGATCATGTTTCCAATTTCCTGAGTTTCCCTGAGATAGCACGAGGCGCGGGAAGACTTTCTGTTATGGTTGGACCTCTGAGACGGTTTGGTTTGCAAACGTTTCCATTCTCTGGTTTCAGTTGAACTCAGAGGAGAAGCTGAGTTTAACTGAAACATTTGGCCTTCTGGGTTCTGTTCACGGTCCAACCAAAGACCAGAACCTGTCTGCTACTCACAGATCTATGTTGATAATCTCTAACTGGGAAACTAGTTTACTTTATTAGAGATTTTAATCCAGAAATAAAAACCTCCCTCCAACAAAAGGCCAAACATAGTTAGCTTTAACTTAAAGAACAAACCATATTCTGCATCTTTAGGCAGAAAACTAAGATAGATTCATTAGTTTACTTTAGCAATAGTTTCAGGGGTTATTAAAACGGCTAAAAAGCTAAAACAATAGAATTATAGCGGTTAGCTTAGCTTATATGCTTTATTGGTGATAGATTTTATTAGCTTTATAAGGCTAACTGTTTAACATAGCTAGCCTGTTGCTAAACTGCTAATAGGAGATAGCATCGTCAATCATCCGATCCGTCCCGCGCGAACAGATATACAGCCAGGTTTCCATAATTAATCTAATTATGCTTCTAAAATTACTTATTTCTATCCTTAACTCACTAAAGAATGCTAAAACACATCTTTAAAAAATGTTTAATGACTTTTTCTGAGACATTTTGCTGCTTTTTCCATTTTCTCCATTAAACAGCTTCTCTGATGTCATCATGGGTCACGATCAGAGCAGTAAATCTGAT